GCGTCCAGCTCGTTCAATGCGATCTGTAACTGTGCTTTTAGCACATCGTTATCTGAACGCGAGGCTTGGTACGCTTGTTCTCTATCCTCTGCTTCCGATAGTGATGCTTCAAGTACTTGTAGTTTGCTGTTCAGCAAAGCAATTTCTGCACTTGTATCTTGCTGTAACTGAAACATCTGTTCATAATGTTTCGTCATAAGGACCTCGTGTTCGCTTCTAAATTGACGGACGTATTCTTCCGTTTTTTGAGCCAACTCTATTTCACTGTCTAACCTTTGTCTGAGGTTATCAGTTTTCTCAACAGCCTTATAGAATGACTCTTTCAGCAAGATTGCAATTTTAGCCAGCTTTTCATAACTTGACTTTGTGATTTCTGTTGAGGTCACACTTTCTGCAACCTCCTTCAGATTGTCCACTAACTCTTTTGGGTTCATGCGCTCTGTCTGAATCATATATGAATGTAAGGACGCTCCCAGGAGCGCGAACGCATTCTCCAAGCAGTCCGCCATTCTTTTTGGGTCAAAATCTTTTTCTAACACACCTGTCATGTTTTCACTGTGTAGCAATTTATCTGTTTGAACAGTTGCAAGCTTTAGATATTTTACAGGTAAATATTTGTATTCAAGTCAATGAGTTTTCACACTTATTTTAGCTTTGGGTTTACACAGAAGTACTGTTATAAGTCACTTATTCAACTGTGGGTACCTTTCTCAGGTTTTACCCCAATTCATGAATATTTAAGTAAAAGCTCTTTTGGCAGTGGTTACTTTTTGTGCTTATTTTCCACAGATACTAGAGTACCAAGCTGTTTTTTAGTGTATTTACTCTAAAACACTGAATTTTTTATAAACCTGCAAATTTTTCTTTAGTCTCACAGCAATATTAGTTTAAAACGTTTTTTAAACCGTTCTGTTCCAGAATTTTGCTATTTTAAACAGTTACTCATCAACCCAGGTGGGTGAAAAGAGAAAAGAAATTGATGATGAGGAATAATCAGTCTTTCTTCAGAAAAACTGTATTTACTCCTGTCCTCCTGTAAAGCTTCTATTTAAAATTAAATAGAAAGATTTTTGTTTAGGTGGCAATTTAAACAGAAAAATCTCTTTTTCCTCATAAATTTACTCTTATTTAGTGATTTTGCAATTAAACGTGTATTATCCTTCAAGCAAAATGAGTAAACTATTCAACTCTGTGAATATTTGTAACTGTATCTGTTTTTTAAAAAGTTTCTAATTTTATTATGAACCTGTTTCTCAAGGATTTATCAGTGAATAAAATTTTTTTGGTAAATGCTTCTTTGCATAAATACCTATTACTTTTTAAAATGTAAGATAACAGTGTTTTATTCAGCTTTGAGGAAGTTTGTTAACTCAAAATTGCCTTACAGAAAAATAAAAAAAAACGTTTAATTTCACTCTTTACCTAAAAACGAAGTGAAACCTGTGATCTCACGTCTCGCCAGGAGATGTCAGTATTACCTCAACAATTATAACTCCGTCACTGTTTGTGTTGTCCACTAGGGGTGCTATAACTTCCTGTGGCGTTCGGTTGACATCCTGTTGTTAGCTGCTTAGCTTGAAGTTAGCTTCGGCTAAACTCGGTTAAAATCAACATTTCTGAACGGATTTTTTACACAAAAGTGGCAAAATTTCAACAAACACGACTTCTTAGCCTGAACATGAGTTTTTGGAACTATATAGCAGCTTCATTTAGTGATTTTAAGCGTAGTTAAAACTCCGGTCGTTAGCTGTTTAGCTTAAAATTAGCATCGCTAGCGTTGTTTAAAAACATCGTTTTTTGACGAATTTTAAACTCTAACGTAGCAAAATTTCAGCAAATAGCTTCGAAGCATTTAACCAGTGTGTCAACAATCACTTTAGAGGCGTTTTTCAGCTTTAAAAAGCAGATTTTATTTCCCTATGAAAACGAATTTCATTTCCGGGTCACGTGACTGAAATCACCAATGGCAAAGCAGCGCAGGGTGAGAGGAAGTGACGTAGCCACGCCAGTCAGCCTTCTCAACCAATCAGAGCGCTCCACAACAGCGAATTCAACCAATCACGAAGCGTTTTCTCCAACTAGCAAGTTAGATTAGCGTGAAATAGTTCGTCACTTTTTCGTCTTTTAAACCATCAAAATGCACTTTTTCTGTTAAAAATTGTAACGAAACAACTCCTAACTGTGTCCTGAGGCGGCGCTCAGCTTTTAAAACGTTTATCCATCTGTTCAAAATACTCGTTCAAACTGAACAGAACCGAACCCACAGCCGGGTCTTAGCAGAACCTCGTACTTTTAAACAGAATAACGTCTTCCACAGCTCATCAGCTTTTAGTTACACGTAACAGACGTACAATTCAGCTTTCATAAAGACTCAATGACACAATTTCAGCTTTTAAAACATTACTAGCCCAACGCTTAGAACATGCAGCGTTTGCTTGAAAGGCGCAGCTCCGAGCGCGCAGCTCCGGCTGCGTTTCAATCACAGCTGATAAACCGTTACTTTTTCAACATGCCAACATGGAAAAAATCAATCTTTACACGAATTAACAGTCATTCATGAGACGTGCGAGCCACCAGTTTGTAGTGAGTCACGTGGGTACGTGCCACTAGTTGTAGTATGACAATATATCCCCGTTTATATGCATACAATATTCACGAGTTCTTCATCTTTCTGACTGTGTAATGCCGTGCATTGAATTTAACAGAAATGCGAACGAGAGACGTTATTATCTTTGACCCATCAAAATGAATGGAGTCATTTATTTTCAGAATCAAAGTTTAACATCAAACATTTACATTAATTTGGCAAAATATGAAAATAATAACAGACAGTTTCACAAATAATGAACTTCAAATCACTCGGCGGTGATTTGAGGACTTTGCTTCAGATATTTCTAAAATATCTGTACTGATTTATGAGAGAGAGGTGAGTTTAAGATGAAACGGAGATTTATCTTACAGAGGAATATGTGAGGGAATTTAATCTGTTTGACCAGAAATTGCACGCTTCGTCAGATCTCAGCTCGTCCACGGTACACTTGGTCGAAGAAGAACTTTACCTTGTTGAAGTTCATCAGCTCAGTAAGAATCCTTCAGACTTTTTCAGCGTCTCCGTTGAGAACAGCTAAAATCCTTGGAGAGTCGTGCGTGGTTAGTTCAAAACAGAATCATAATCCCAAAACGTCTCTGGATTCTCGGCAACTCTGACTCTTCATTGTCAGCAGCTCTCAGACTCTTTCAGATCTTCTCAGACTCTAACTCCAAAACTCTCCATAACTCTAGTTCTCTGGAATCTCTTGGAACCGACTGCCCTCTCTGAATTCCCCATGAATTCTCTTCAGAACTCCTTGAGAACTAACTGCACTCTGCCAGAACCGGGAAGTTGTCCCATTTTAAATGAGTTTACTTCCGAGTTTACTTCAGAGCTTTCTGATTCGTGGATGGACCAGAAAGAGGAGTGGTTTTGACGTAAGGTGTTTATCAAAAGTCGAGGTCAGAGAATGAAATTTGTTTAACAACTGACAGAGAGATTATTGCAGAAAAGCAGACTTCGTGGAGTCTCCACTCTGATATCTTCTCAAATAGTTAAACATGACATTTCTTCTTCAGTAAACATTTAGTTGACCGAAGCTTCAACTTTCACATACTTACGACTTGGCTCATTTCAGACAGAAAATCAAGAAATGCATATTAACCTGATTTCTCCTTTGAATGAGGAATAAAAATCATTACTTACTGTTTATGTAAAATAAAAATGAGTAGTTCTTTTCAACCTGTAAGCATTGAGTGAAACTAACACAATTTGATTATCAAACATTTGTAAAACAGTAATGATTATAAAGGATTGTCTTTTCTGCTTGATTAATTCAAGAAAGAAAGTCATCAGATGGCTCAGACTTATTCAGATCAATGAAAATAACAGTCTCTGTCCATCTGGTAGATTTGAGGTCATCAGGGTCAGATGAGGGTCAGATCATCAGGTCATCTGGTTCACTACAGGACACAGCGCTCTATGAACAGCCAGCCTCCTTAGCTATGAACTACTTTTGTGTCTTACCCATCCTATGGAGGGTCTCAGTGATGGTCTTCTGGACAGATGTTCTGTCTGCAGTCTTCACCATATTGAACCAAACTGAGACAATTTAATGACACCTGGGGAAACCTGTGCAGGTGCTTTGACTTTAGTAGAAGATTAGTGTCACACTCAGTTTAAAACATTTGGCCTGATTCTCCACATTATTCTAATTATTTGAAATCTTGTTTTTGTGGGTTTCATGAGCTGGAAGCTCAAATTATGTAAAAACAAACAAATAAATACTTGAAATAGTTTAAATTGTGGGCCCTGAATCTATCATCTATTAAAGATTAACTTTTTGAATTGAATTATGGAAATTAAACAACTTTTCCATGATATTCTAACTTTTTGGAAAGGGTCTGTGTTATATCTATGACTATCTATGTCTATATCTATCTATTATATTTCATGTTTTTATGCTTTTATTCATGTTGCTGTAATATCTTGTTAATATTTGATGCTGTGATCTTTTTTGGTAAGCACTTTGATAACAGTTACTGTTTTAAATGTGCTATAGAAATAAACGTGACTTGACTATGTTTATCTATATCGATCTATATCTATCTATATCTATCTATATCTATCTATATCCAACTGACCTCCCTCACGGTCCATTAAAGGAAACTGTTTTCTAGTTTTATTTTTCTTAAAAGTGTAGTTTCCTCAAATTATTGAGGTGGCTGAAGATTATTGTCTGGGGGCCAAGGCCACCATTGGCCACCCTCTGGCTCTGTCCCTGCTGTGGTGGCACATCTTATAGAAACGCCCCCAACATTCAACAAACCGGCTCATTTGATGGAGAACTTGAAGATAAATGACGGCTGTGACTCACACGGGTCACGTTCCGCGGGAGCAGAGTTCTCGTCTCGCTGCTCGAAGGTGTTTTTAAACGTCGTGGGTCGTTTAGCCCTGCGACTTGTCTGCAGGTCTGCTGGAGAGCAGCATGCGCCTGAAGCCTCACGAAGCCCAGAACTACCGCAAGAAGGCCCTGTGGGTGTCCTGGGCGTCCATCGTGGTCACCATGGTCCTGGCCGTCGCTGCGTTCAGTGAGTACACCTCAGAGGTTTCTATTTTATTCCTCACAGGAAGTAAAACGCACGCGGGCACCACCTGCTGATCCAGCCAAGAACCGGATTAAACACGAGCTCCTCAAACCAAAGACCCCACGAACGCTTCAGTTCATCCTGTAAACGTCAGGGTTCGGCTGTTGGAGCTCCTTTACCTCAGGAGAACAACACGAGGCCTTTTCAACGTTCACGCCCTTCACTTCTTTTGTCTGCCTGTGAAATAAAACAAATAAACCGGTGTTTTAATTTAATATTTTGGTACTAAAAATATATTTTTAAAGAGAAATATTATGAACCGTAAATATCTTACCTGTTGTGGGTGTCTCCTTTAACGACCTCTGTTTGGAGATTAATTCTGGCCAGACTCATGAGCTAAAGGCTGAGACCAACGTGGGCTGCTGTGGATTGACCCGCCATTAGCTTGTCAATTTGTCTAGAACAGGTAAGATGTTATTTGTGTAAGACTTTAACAGAACCCCATTATAAACAAAATGTAAATTATTTTAACGCTGGCAAGCTTCACCTCAAACGTGACCAATAACAGCTGGTTAAAAGTTTATTTTTTGTATTTTTAGGTTCATTTCTTTGACTCTTGGCAAAATATTTGATGAACCACCGGTATATTTGAACGAAACGTACAGGAAGTGATCATCAAACGCAAACATACTGATTCAAAATGGCCACCATAGCTAACAGGCTTAGAAAAATGCAAACAGTTAGAACTCGAGTTGTTAAAGATAAAAGAAGCAAAACTCGAGGTAAAAGGCTAAAGTAGCTAAATGCTACTTAAAACCAGGACTAAGTTAAATGTCGCTCAAAGCAGCTAAAAGTATCAAAATGCTAGCTAAAAGATAAAGGTGTGATGATAAATAGCCGCGCCTTGTTGCGTAAATAGACTTTTACGATTGGTTGCATGTACAGTTAGCGTGCGCAGCTAACGGCAGGAACATCGTAAAATGCTTTTGTAAAAATTATTATTAAAATTTTATTAAACTTTTATTAAACTTGCCATCAATCCACTTTGGTGTTGGCCTCGCTTGTTAGCCGTTAGCACTTCAACATGGTCGCAAACGATTACTTCTCAAAGTGAGACGATCAGAGAACTATCCACAACAGGTAAGATATTAGCTCTTTATGGTTTCCACAGAACTCCACAAGCTCTTCGCTCTCGGCTCGTCCCGATATCGTTATAAAGAAGCAGCGCAGAAATGTTGTAAAAGTTTGATTTGTTGTGTTTTGAAACAGCCAAGACAAACTTAGGACAGCTGGACGTGTAACCGTGTCTGTAGCTCACCCCCCCACCCCCCGGCTTCCTAATAGAACGACTCCCGTTTCCTCTCGTTGGATGAATCAAGAGCCTCGACTGTTCGATGGAGAACAGATTCCCTACCCCCCCACCCCCCGGCTTCCTACGGGACCCAATTATCCGTCGCTGGGTTCACCTCTGACGACCGCAGGCTCATCTGTAGAGATTCTTGTGTCTCCTCTTAAAGAAGGAGCCAGGAAGTAAAAACGGGGAGGAAGGAGGAACAAACGCGTTGTGGACCGATGATACGGTCTCTCAACGCTGGAAACCTACAAGGAACGGCTCGGGTCTTTCGAGCTGGGGTTCACAGGAAAGCTTAGGAGCAAATATCTTACCTGTTGTAGATGGGTGCTTGAGTGGCCTCCGTTTGTGGGAGGAGTTTAAGTCTGACCAGATTTATGCGCTGACGGCTAGTTCCTGGAGGAACAGTGCAATATTGGACCGATCTGATTTGGTCTTCGCTCCGCTCCGACTAGCCCTTAGCTCGTCCGTTCGGTCAGAATTAAAATCTCAGGCTGCCTTTAAATGGTCTACTTTTTCACTTTGTAGTGGCGGCCATTTTGGACTAACATGGACATTTTTGGTCCTAGAAACTGTTCTCGTGGTTCAGTACAAGCAGCGTACAGATGTTGCACTCTACATTGGTGGCAATGGACCACAATGCATTGCGGTCTGAGTTGACACAAGATAATTAAAGCTAAAGCTAATGTCTGTGGCTCGTCCTCGTGGTTTCCAAACTTTAAAAAGTACCGTGTTTTCCAGCGTGTAAATCGCAGGTTTTTTGCTGAGATTTGTCAGTCCTGCGACTTCTATACGTTTTTTTAATATTCGACTTTATATATATATACATAAAAAAATATTTAGGTTAACTTGTGCACTGTGTTCAGTTCCAGAGAAGAACTCATCTTGAAAACTACAAACATTCAGTTTTCAAATCCCTCAGCGACATCGGCGCTCCTCTTCCGTGTTGGGCAGGACTCTCAGCTACTACCACAGCCAGTGTGAGCACATCAGTAAAACTGGCTGAATTCTAGCCATGTCTGTGTGTTCCCTTGTTTGGCTGCAGCAGGCGGCCATCTTGATTCGAGTTGGCTCCAAAAGCCGTACGTCCAGCGTTTCTGGAAAGTTTCATTAAACTAAAAGACCGAGTCGACTCCAACAATCTTAAAGGTCTCGTCCAGTCTGTTATAAAAGATAAAAATGAGTTTGGGATCAGTCTCGGCTACTATCACACTATCATAAAGTTATGGGCGTATTTTGTGTTAGCTAAGGTTGATTAGCTGCAGCGGCATCACTTTAATTACAAAAGTTAATCAGTTGCAGGTGTGCAACCAGTGGTTAACCTTCCTGCTGCCCTTGGGCCAAACCAAAGAGGCCCCGGGCAGCTGGAAGGATAGGTATCAGACCGATGCGCAGGCACAAGTATCATCATTTATCCATCACAGTGTAGCTCCTCCTCGGTCTTAGCCCAGTGTTCCCCTTACCATTATACAAGCGGGGCGCCGTCAACTGAACCGAGTCGCCCTGCCTTCCGAACCCCCCACCCCTCCACCCCTCGTCAACAACTGTCGATATTGATGTAGCACAGGGTGCAATACAAACGCACTAGCAAAAATGCTACTGAAGTTTCACTGCGCTACTCCCCACCCCCGTCGACAATTACCGGCAGCAACATAGCACTAAACA